GATAAAATTTATTATAATTTTTTAAGTAAAAAATAATTATTTTTAATAAATATCATTTTTCCTAAAATCCTTAGCCAACTTTAATCACGTAAGTTTAGATGTTAGGTGTGTTACTTGTTTTGTTTAAAAATAAAAAAACAGGATTTTTCAGACAACTCTTCTCCAACAGTTGACCTCCAATTGGATAGCTGAAAAAAAATGTCTGTGAAATAAATTGCACCATAAACGATGTTGCAAAACAGAAGGTGCAGTTATGCAAAATGAATTACTAATTGTCTCGGAAACCTTAAAGGACTTTACAACTACAAAAGTGTAATAAAAGCTACAAATCTTAAAATTAACACAAAATCTTAAGACAATTAATCTAACACGAAATCAATAAAAGAAAACAACATGCTACAAAAATAAAACTTGCAGATAACAAAAAATGTAAAATCACATACAATGATTTTCACTATGTAATCCATAACAATTAAACCAATTACTTATTTATTTAAAATAAAAATAACTAAACTACTTGATAACTACAATTGAAGGAGAATATATGAAATAATTAAAATCTGAAAACTTGTAAAATTAAATCTAAAAATTGAAATTGAGTAAACTGCAGGTCTGACAGTTGCGCAAATACAAGGAAAAAAAGACAAAGCATTTAACTTATTTACATGAACAAATAACATAGATGAATCCATAAGAGAAAGAGGAACTAACCACATCAATAGGATAGACCCGTTCTCAAGGCTGATATGGTTCCAAATGCTTAAAAGCTAACCTAAGTTGAAATTTTTGAGGAAAGATGTGAACAAGAATGAAAAAAAAAAAAAAAACTAAGCAATGAACAAGAACATATCTTGCAAACTAATCTAGAAACTATGCTGAAATCTGAAAAAAGCAGTCTGAAAGTTAAAAAACATATGCTTTGGGCAATGTGTGTAGGGCAGGCCGTCTGGAACTGATTTTTCTTCTTGTTTTTATTTTCTTCGATGCTAGGAAACCTCCTCCATGTTTCTCAGCTCTCTCCCACCATGATCAAGTAGTGGGATTCCATATCTGGTAGTTGTTTGGTAGTTTTCTATTTTTGGTTCAATTTTATCTTCAATAAAACCCTAGGGATAACCTTCTCCTAAAAAACCTCAACTTCCTACTTTAAATCAACCTCCAACACCAAAAATTATTTTATCTTTTGCCACATAAAATCCAACTTCTTTAAAATTTCATCTGGACCCTTAAATTGTAATACAGCCTAACCCAAATCCAACTTGCTGACTTTTCTTGATAGTCGGGCTTCAACTTGACATGTGTCCTTCTCTCATTGGTTTATTTTTAGGTGTAAACAAATATGAATAAATTTTAATATTTAAAAGTAAAAAGGTTTAATAATTAAAATTTTTTAATAGTTAGCCACTGTTTAAACTTGTTTATTTGTAAATTATGGCCATATCACCAGAATGTTGTATTGTTTTTTACTATCAAGTGTGTACTCTATTGTTGAAGCACATATCAATAGGACAGCGCAATGCAAGTTACAAGCATATTTACTTGTGAGGAACTTATAAAGGTTCAACTCGAAATGTCACAATTATGTTTTTTATTTTGTCTGTAGATTGTGGAGCAGGAGAGTTTGGAGGCAGTGGAAGAAATCAAGAACCCTGTTGTGTTCTGCATTGCTGCATGGTTTGGAAAGGTTAGGCTGATTGATAACATGGATATCAGCATATGAAACAATGCCTCCATTGATTTACTTTCCATGCCCGAAGAGGACCTAACTACTTTTCCGAGCTTCATACTTCCTTGGCAACTCTTTCTTTATTTCACCCTGCCTCCCAATTTTTTTTTTAATTGGACAAGGCATGCATATGTCACAGGCAACAGAAACTGGGAGGGCCAGTGCTAACCATGAAAATTCTTTTTTGTGAGAGAATTGACCTAAAGTTTGCACAAGGACTGGGATACGTGAAAGTAACTGAATAAATTCAACCTTTCATGATTAGTAGTAGCAGCATAGACTACAATACCAGTTTAAATTGTATACTTCTTTTATGGTTAATGGCAGCATGATTTGAATTATAGAAAATTGCAAATGTCTCTGGCATTTCTAGGTCCATTACTGTGAGCTGTTAGAGGAAACAGACACCAGGAAGGGCCAATGCTCAAAATGTTTCCGTGAACATTACCAGTAGTGGCAAGATGCCAATAATTTGGAAACATCACAAGCCATACTGTATCAAAAGAATAAAAATGGGCCAAATAAGTAGTAGGAAGGACCAATGCTCAAAATGTTTCTGTGAACATTACCAGCAGTGGGAAGATGCCAATAATCTGGAAACATCACAAACCATATTGTATCAAAAGAATAAAAATGAGCCAAATAAGTAGTGGGAAGCCATAAATGCTCCATGGCCTTTGTGTTTTTACAGACAGTAGTGTCATCATATTAGGTTTAAAATGAAAAAGAATCCAGCTTCCAATAATCAACTTTGTCAAATGTTTCTCAAATAACAAACTATCATAAAGAGTATCATAAGCTTCTGCATTTGGCACTGACTTAAGACTGCAACTCCTCTCTATTATGCATTTTCTACATTCTGTTTGATGCCAGCATTTGCAGTATCAATGTCCAATTCCACATTAGATTCAGCCCCAAAATTTGCTCAAATTCACTGATTCCACCAATGTTCACAACTTCAGATATTGCTCTTCCCTCCACCAACGTCTACAGATCATGGAAAGCAGAGAAAACAAATAAACACAAGCCAAAGCCAAATCATTAGCTTCCATGCCTTTTTATGAGTTCAAGTTCAAATATAGAAGATTCCATGTAGTAGAGCAAAAAGTGATTGCTTCACTATCTAAATATGAAATCTACAAGTGAATCTTCAATGTAACTAATTTTGATTACTAAAAGGTAAACTGATATGATGCACAAAAAATGGAAACCAGTGCGTGATTGTGCACATTTCACCTCAATAAACTTGAAAAACATAGTATCAGCATGTTACAAAATTCATAAAGAAAAATGCACTGAAGGTGAGATCAAGTATACACCTTAGAACTCAAAGAACAAATGAAAGAATTGATTAGAAAATTAAGGCTATTCCAAGATAAAAGAGAAGCAACAAAGCCTCTTGCTTTATCTTAAATTAACAACGATATATTAATTTGCTAAACAAGGGAATAGTAGTAAAAAATTTCTATATTCAAATTAAAATGAAGAACATGCTGAGGATGTGGTAGGATATTCTTGTATCGGAGTCCTATAATTATTAGCCGAATGTTGCATATAAGAGGTCAATAGTCTCCTTCTTCCTCCAAGCACCGTTGTTCTAGAAGTGGACAGCCTTTGATTTCGAACACTTCCAACAAGGGAGGCAGACCTTCCGTTGGCAAGGTCTGGAGATTCGGGCAATCATTAAATGTCAACTCTCGAAGAGAAGCAAGGATTTGGAGGAGCCCTTTAGATATGGATTCCAGATTACCCACTCTTTTTATTGTAAGAGTTTTTAGGGAAGTAGGAAGCAAATCATCCGGAGGACATATCCAATGAATCTCAAATTTCCCAAGAGACGTAAGCCTGTCAAGCCCCCATTCTAACATTGACAGCTTTAAGCCCTCACAATCGATCACAAGCCTTCTAAGATTCGGCAGTAAACCCCCCCTGCAATGGATACTATGCCTGGACAATCAGCTATCTCTAATTTTTGGAGAGACGTGCAATTGTACATCCCATTGGGCAGAGACTTGCGATTATGACGATGTGATATCTTCAGAGTTTTAAGAGTGGAGGTAGACAGCAACCTATAGAGTTTTCCCATATCAGAAACACTCGTTCTTCCAAGATTCACTGTGACAATGCTGCTATCATCATCCTCCCGTAGGAACTCAGATTTTTCAGAATTCTCAACTGTGGACTCTTCAAGTCTGCCAAGTAACTCACCTGTCGAAAAAGATTTGAGGCTTGGACATTTATAAATAGATAATCCTTCTGTTGTCATCATCAACTCATCAGGTAATGACTCCAAAGCCTCCAAATCAATTAAGTCAAGGTTTTGGAGATATAATGGAAAGTCAGTCACCAGAAAGCCCACGAACTTTTTGCATATTCCGATATCCAATCCTTCTAAAGAGGCGAGGCTATGCTGTCCATTTGGTAGGAGTTCAAGGTTGTCACAATTAACGATGGTCAAAGTTTCAAGAGTAAGAGGTAGAAGGTTTGTTAACGATTCTAGGAGAGGACAGTCATAAATACGCATCCCCTTAAGACTAGAAAAGCTTGACAAACTGCCTCCATCCTCCAATAAGAAAATAAGTTCACCGCATTCATCAATTTCCAGAGTCTCAAGTGCGGTCATGTTTTGAGTGATGCTCCTAGGCAAGCAAGTAAGCTCTAAAATTCTGCTAATAATCAACTTGGTGAGTGAAGTGGAATCAAACACACTCCTCAAAACTGCCCCTTTACACCTTTACAATCATGCAGACACAGTTCCTGAAGTGATGGAAGACTCATTGGTAAACAAGTTAATTGAGGGCATCCTTTGATCTCAAGCCGCATGAGTTGTGGTAATTGTCCACGCCTTGGCAATAAAGAGCTTCTCTTACAATCATTGAGTTCCAAGTACTCTAATTTAGAAAATGATGGATCGCCTATCTATGATGGGAATTCAAAGCCTCCATATGAATCAATTTTGAATCTTTTCAAATTAGAATGAGGCTTTAATTGACTGAGTACCTGCAATTCATTACTTTCATCTCGTGAAGTCTGGTAGTCATTAGTCCATGCCAATGTTAGCTCTTCAAGGCCCTCGATCTTAAATAGGTTGGCCTTACTGGCATCTTGAATATCGGAGACATTATGGAGGTCTTTGATAAGTAGCTCACCTCGTAGATCCTTCAAGTTGCTCAACTCTTTTAATCTCAGCCCACATGATTCTCCCACAATAAATTTAGGCAACATCAAAAGATTTTTCAAATTGCTCATTTGGGATGGCATCTTTTGTAAGCTAGACGTACCCCTAATATCAAGATGATGTAAGTCAACTAAATCCACAATTCCTGCCAGCAACTCCTTGATTTCATTGCACCCGTATAGTATCATTGTTTGCAAGTACACAAGAGATCCACAGAATTCGGTAAACTTTGTAATTTAATGTGAGACAAATCTATGTAGCGCAAATGCTTCAATTTCTCAATTGAATTTGGAAGCTTCAATATTCCCCAACCTTCCAAAGTTAAGACCCTTGGGCATCTTAATTTTTTTATGAACTCCACAGGAATATGTTCCGCACCATGGCTTAATACTAGGAATGTCCGCCAATTATTGGGGGTTTGCAGAAACCAAGACATTTCTGAATAATGGACTCCATAAATAGAGCATGACGCATGGCGTGACTTTTCAAAATTAACCTTCTTTTCCTCACTCTGTATCAGATTTCCAAAATTACAGCATGTTTCTCCTGCAACATACTGCGCTAAATCATGCACAAGGTCATGCATCACAAAGTGTGATTGATTATTGCTTGATTGTTGGAAAAGCCCTCTTGAAATTAAATCGCAAAAGTATTGATCTCCTATGTCTTTCATTTGCCTCGCTCCATTCTGCTGCTGTTTTACAAATCCCTCAGCCATCCATAATAAAACTAAATCATCCTTGTCAAATTCATGATCTTTTGGGAACATAGCACAATAAGCAAAACACCTTTTTAGATGGTCAGGAAGATGATGATAAGTCAATCTCAAAGCTGGAAGAATGCGAGTTCTTCCTTCTGGTAATTCCGATATCTTGCTCTTTAATACCTTGACCCACTTGTCAGGATTTAGCTCACCACGAAGGAGTCCTCCAAGGGTTTTTACGGCTAACGGTAACCCTTTTCATCTTTTCACAATTTCTACACCAATCTCTTTAAGATTCAAGTGTGCATCAAAGTTCTCCCTTCCCAATGCATGTCTAGCTAATAATTAATAATGACAAACATTGGTACTCGGGAAGCTCTTTAAGATAATAAATCCTATCACTTGCTCCCATTGTCTTTGCAACACCCTCAATGCGTGATGTAACAATTATTTTACTGCCGATTGCTCCTGATATAAAAAGTCTTTGCAATGCATCCCAACAATTGTAGTCCTGACTCCAAACATCATCAAATACAAGTAGAAACTTCTTTCCAGATAACGTATTGTTCACCTGCCGTTGAAGTACACAAGGATCTTCGAAGTCACACTTTCTCTGAGTTATTTGTTCAAGAATAGATCTTGTTATTCGAGGAATATCAAATTCATCAGATACACAAATCCAAGCTTTAAGTTCAAACACACCATTCAGTCTGGCATCATTGTAAACAAACCGAGCAAGAGTGGTCTTCCCTAGTCCACCCATGCCAACAATGGCCATCACACAAGGGTTTTCATCACTGCCTTCATCATTCAACATCTTTTGAAGGATAGCATCTTTATCGCCTTCCCGGCCATAAACATGAGGTTCAGGCAACCAAGTAGTAGTCGGCTCCCATCGTGGAGCTGTTACGCTAGGTCCGTCCTCTCCAACTTTCAAGCCCAGTAATTCCTTCTCTCTCACAGCATGTTCCAACCTGCCAGAAATCTCCTTTATCTTGGAAACAGCCTCACAGCCAGGGATGAAATCATCGAGATTAAAACCAGTGCAGCACGTGGGGATCAACTTTCGTGCCTTAATTGTGCTGGGTTGATCAGTTTTGGCAGTCAATTTCTTCCTTCGTTCATCAGCCTCTAGTCCATCAAGGACATCCTCCATATCATCAGCAAAATCTTCGAGGTCAGAAAGCCACATTTTCACAGCAGGATTGGCTGTTTGCCCCTTCTCCGCACCATCAAGCACAACCCATTTTTTGGGCAAAAGACTCTTCCAGCTTTGCAAGTCATCACGAACCTGCTTCTGTGGATTCCACAACTCACTGGACTTGGAACCCAACTTGTCCATTAATCACTCCAAGGACGCAGATAGAAAAGCGGTTCCTACCGCTTCCATTGTAAAAATGAGCAAGATATCTACGGTAAAAATGAAGGGATACAAATGAATCATAAAATCATTTAGAAAAAGAGAGAAGAAAAAAAGTGTTGCGATTGCGGTGCACTAACTTGAACAATTAAATAATCATAGTTGTTAATGTCAGGACTTCCTTTTATATAATAATTTTTATTTTATAGTTTAATATAATTTAAATT